AGCCTTATTTTCTTCTTAAAGTTACAAGGCAGTCTGCTTAATTCAAACTGAATCATATAGGACTGAATTGCCAACTAGCTTCACACAGATTTAACACAGGCACAAAATCAGAATAAAAATTCAGTTCTAAGCTCACCCCTTAAATAATTATTTTAGTAAGGATGCTTTCCAGCTTTATTGTATTTTAAAGGTTATAAATAATGTAATCCTGAAACTACATGTAGTCTCATATGTAGCAATCAAATATTTTGAATAGAAGAAAATATACAATCCTAAAAATGTATTAAATGTTATGGCATAAACCCGCCATTTGGAAAAGAGTACCAAAAAAGACCACATTAGTAAGAGACAGGATCTGCAGTTATAATTTTACAAAACAGAAGCAATATAAGGGATAAGATATAGTTTCTGCTGCCTAAGACAGACGGACTTTAATAACACTTAACAGAATGATGCACATTAATGATCTCAGAAAGCACTTCTTATGCCTCATCCATCATGTGGGGGAGAGAATGAAGCCTTCGACAGCATTAGGAATTATTCTAGATCTTGTCAGTAATTCGCAGCTTCTCTGTAGTATCGTAACACAAATTTGTGTGTATGAGACACTGACCATTAATCTAAGGGCTTTTTTTTCCACACTCGCCACAGCGTGCGGAGAATGTATCAATTGTTTCATGGAGAAATTTCACATATGAAACCATACTAAACAAAAACAGGGAAAAGATCCAATATATAGCTACAGCAATAAAGAAAAAGAATGAAAAAAAGATTTGTGATTAAAAACAAAAGCATAATATTTCTGCATGCACAACTACAAATGTCCTGAACTGGAGATAGGCAGAATGTGCATTGATTTTAAAAGTTGTTTAAGTTCCCATACAGAGACATTCTTACATTTAATTTGGTGAGGGTGTTCCCTCCTGCTTTTATTTCAGTATAAAAAAGATCTGGAATTTCTTCTCAAGGATCATGCATTTTTATCCATAGTAGCAAAGCAAATTTCAATTTGAAACCCCATGCGATTAAAACAAACAATATCTTTTGGCAACATTTTCCTTAAGATGAAATCTGCTGTTAACGGCATGATGGTCATTTCAACTAGACTCTCTACTACAAAGGAAAAGGTCCATAAATATTTGTACAACAAACTCCTTCTGGAAAAAAAAATCCCTCTGAGTACACTCCAAATTGATTTCTATCCACGCAACATAGAGATTAAAGCGAGCTGGTTGTATGTAGATTATGATAAATTAACACTGTCTGGCTTCCAAAAGTCACACAGAGATGTATTTCTACACAGATATGATAGAAGCTCAACAACAAAAATGCTTGTCAGACAGAATGAGGTGAATTCTTTTCTAAAGGTGGAGGAACTGAACTGTCCCCAAAGCGGGGGGAAGAGAAAGGTTAAAAGAAAATAATAATAATCAGAATTCAAAATACTTCTAATTTCTAAAAGCATTCATTATTTTATGTTACTTGAAATATGACATATAACCAAAAAATACTCAAAGGAACTTGGTTTTATACAGCAGATGCTGTGATTGCTGTGTAAACGTAGGATTAGATCCAATCTCTCATCTTCCACAATCAAATAATATAATTTTGGTTTTACTTATTGCACATGTATTTGTATATAACTAGCATGACAAAATAAAGTCCACAGTGCTTTTAGAATTTTTTACTTGACAAATATTGGGAAATGATTTGACTGTCACAGGTAATAAGCACAAACTACAGATGATAAACTCGTTGGAAAGTACCAACACCCATACAAGTCTGTTACACCCCCTGAGAAAACCTGGAAATTAGAAATCCAATCAGTGAGCATCAACAGGGGCTATGAGAGCTGGACAGAGATTTATACTGTGCATGATGCTCATGTCATGAGTGAATGAAACATGGGTGGAAATTGAGGTTTTCACGAAATAATGAAGAGTTAATGTTGCATCATAACACTTGTTCGAACTGCTCGGATTCATTCTTTCCTCCTGTTTTATATTCCCCCAGAATATCAAATTTTTGTTTACCTGTTTCACATTTCTTTACATATGTTTGAAAAATTACAAAATAAAAACAATATGCAGATTAGGGGAGAGACTGCTCTAATACCATCTGTATTATCAGCCTACAGTCCCTGCTTTAAAAACAAGATTTTTTAAAAAATTATGTAGTTCCAGCTACAGTATCTATCCTAGTTTACTTTTTCATTTAGTTTTCACAGGCAAAATGTAAATAATATTTTCAGATATAAAATTATCTAAAAGTTTTACTTTCACTTTATCTAATTAAACCACAAAGATATAGCAATTATGGTCACCTCACCCAGAGCAACTACATGAACTTCTAGGAATGGGCACAGGGAGAACTAAAGAAAAAAATTTGTGTTTCAATTATTCCGATGTGTAACCTGAAACGGTAACAAAAGAACCTGGCATGAATCTATATGTTTATATAGTGCACCGCTGGTAAACATACCAAATAAAGTGCAGTAGATTATTTTAAAAATAGTTTCTCCTTAACTCCCAATACTTTTAATATGATCTGGAAAACTAAATTTAACTAGAAACATTCTCTCTACAGTACAGTAAAATGCAGCCAGATTTCCGTAAAAAAACCTAAACAAACAACAAAAATCCCCTAACCCTCTGCTGTCTCTCTGCAAGTCTGCAAGCTCTCCAGTGCTGAGATAAAGACCCAATCTGCTCATCAAACACCTCCGGGCTTGGCCATCTAATAGGAACAAATTGGCAATGACTGCCCAAGCAAGTAACACAGGCCCACTGATTTGTAGATTGATACTGATGCCTAATGATCCCCTTGGGCAGATCAATAGCAACAATCCTCATCCCTGCCTTTCTTCTTTATTGGCACAGAAGACTGAGGCGAAGAGAAAGCAGTACACATACATGCATAGCACTTCAGGTGCACAGAGAGAGAGACAGAGAGAACAAGAATACAGGTGTTCATATATGATATAAAGCTGTAAAATCTGATCAAAATTTCCCCTGAAAGGGTGGCCAAAGAGACAAGGCAGTCATGCAATTTTATTTGTCATAAGAGGTATAAACAGTGTTGGTAAATCTGTCCTTTTACATGATATTAATAGTAGCTTCTGAATTTGTGGGACCTCAGCACACAATGTAGGTGAAATAAACTCATGCTGAAACAGTTTTCTACTGACACCTTTGTTTGTGAGATACGGGATTAACAGTGACTTTATACAACTGGCCCAAGGTTCTGCAATAGTTTGTGGAAAATTCAGAATACATGAATAATGAGATTAGCAGAACAAAAACTAACATTTATCAGAACTGCATAAAAAGTCATTGACTTCTGTGAGAACTCAAAAAAGATGCAAGAATGTAAGTATTGCCGAGATCAAAAAGGTAGTGATGACAGCCACTGTTCTAGCAATAGAGAATTTGGACAGGTGGGTTTCTCCTGTGCATTGTTATAACAGGGGTATACACCAGTCTTGCTGCACTTGCCTTTTTGCTTCTCTACTTTCCGTTGTCTCGTTGTCTCTTAGCCTACAGCGTTATGATCAATCCGGTAATTTCTATGCCGGATTTTTATTCAACTCCCCCCCCCTCCAAGAGTTAGATCTTCTTTTCTGTTTATTTAGTATTCTAGTGAATACAATTGTCCAATTAGTATATCCCTTTAAAGTTTCCAGTAATAACTAAGAAAAACTAATGGAGTGGCCTTGGATTTTCTTTTTCAATGAATTAACTTTAGTGATATTCTGTTGACTTGTAAGTGGTCATTTATAGCATCAAGGTTATTGGCAGGCATCACAATCAGTACAAAACTTCTGTATGCCACACACACCCCACCCTCCATCTCTCTCTCTCTCTCTCTCTCCATATACACACACATTTATTTTGAACAGACATCAGGTATATACATATTATCAGAAAAACGAGCATATCTGCAGAGAAAAATTAATTTGAATTCTATTAGAATAGTTCAAGTATACTGAATATTTTAATCTCTTTTAGTTACATTTTTATTTTGGTTACATTGAAATACTCTCAGCCCTCTGACTGCCTTTACACTTTTCAGGGGTTATGTCCAAAACAGCAATAAGACTTAGAGAAAATATTCACAATTTTTAAATCACACTCAGACCCAAAACTAACTGCCTGAAAATCTGCTTTGTTCAGCAATCGTTGTGGCAGTGTTGTGCTTTATAGCTGTTTTATTAAAATGTGGATAAAGCAAAACAAAAGATAAAAATCAAATTTCATTGACTGTAAATAGCTAAACCAGTCCTCCAATGAAAGATTTTCTTTAAATAACAAAAATGTCTTTGATCTTTTTATATATTTTCAATAAAAACAGAACTGCATTAGGAGTCTATGTAATTCAACCCACTATATTTCATAAATTAATAATCTTTTGAATCCTGCATGCTGTCTTTTTGAACATGAGAAAGTTAAATTCTTGTAGTAAGGGGATTTACCCTGATGCTTGAAACATGCATGCACACCAAATATCCAGCACTGACCATTTTAAAATTTAAATTTCACACTAATGATCAGTATAATCATTGCAATCATCATCATCATAACAATAAAAAGATGCATCCTGTTAGCCCCTGACATCAATCAACGTGTGGTGAAAAATCAGAAGCCTTTCTCGTTCTCCCCTGCTCGCTCTCCCCCCCCACACACACATCCTCCCCCTCCCTCCCCCGGTTGCTCACAGAAGTGATCACATTTAATTCATTGCATTATTATGTCATCTCCATACTAATCTCGGCCCTCACACCTCCACCACTTTGACATGCAAATGAGCTAGAAAAAAGGCACACATTAATATAAAAAAGTCACAGCAATCATGTCATGATTCCATGCCTTCCAGCCCCGCAAGACTCCCCCCATGCTCCCCCCCCCCCGATCTCTCTCTCCAGCACGCAGTGCTGGTGATCACAAGAAACAACAGCAATCTGTTGAAGATCAGACGCTAAGACAGGGAGGTGGGGAGAAGGATACAACACATACACGTGTCAGCAACGCAGCCCAGCCAGCCCTATTTGCATATTCACATGAGTTCTATGCTCAGATTGCTTAAGCAGTAAAGAAGTTAGGTGTCTTCCCCACCCACCTCCCCTCCCCACTCCATAAAGAAACAGCAATTTATAACCAAAAAGGGGGTGGGGGGGAGAAAGGGTAAGCTCAAACTGCCTCACCTCAGCTGGCTCGCTTTCTGTTGCTCTTAAAAGGAATTCCCTGTGGTTCCTTTCGAATTTTTGAGAACCATCCTTCAGGGTTTTTAGTTTTCTCTTTCTCTCTCTTCCTCCTCCTCCTCTTTCTGTGTTGTGACTGGGTTTATAAAAAAAAAATAAAAAAGACAACTCCATGTTAAGCTAGCAGTCAAGGCATCATGAAGTCTAGGGCTGCAGGGGGAGGGAAAAGAGGAGGGGAGGGTCACAGCTTAATGCTTTACAAAAGGGAACCCAAAGCCTGTATATATTTTTTAAAATATCATACACAAACTACCGAGATGCATGTGTGTCTATATAGCCCATGTGTATGTATTACAGAGCATTACATTTTCACCAAAAAAATGTGAATAATGTTCAGTCTACGATGCAAACAAATGCAGTGACATTCAGAGTTAATATGGAAACTCTATTCTTAACCTACCCTGTTGTTTCAGTGCATGGGTATCCAAAGAGTGATGGATTTTACATACCATATACTATTTGCAGCATTTGTGTATAACGGTTAAGGATGTAGGTTCAGCCTTAACTATGAATTTCTGGCTCTGGGCTGTTACCACTAAAACCTCAGTGTTATTTAAACTGTATTTTTGTGCCAGTGATTTTTTTTATTTAATTTTTCTAATGACAATAATAAACTGAAATACACATCTAACCTGCAAACGTATCAAAATAACAGCTCTGTGTTTATGGGACTAAATAAATATATGCACAGGCCTATTATTTTAAAATAGACAGCTTTTGTTATCCAGTTTGATACACACATTATTTATCAATAGACTGTAATGGTTCCTCAGAAGTGATACCATCCATTGCATCAAACCTACTGCCATGTCTGTAGATTAAATCCACCTTCTAAGAACCCTAAATTAAATGTTTGTTGGAAAATATCTCATGTATACATGTAGTAGTAGTTCAAGAATTATCATTAGCATGAATGCTTTGAGAGTTGCATTGCTTCAGAATACAAATTATTAGATTAAATTATGAATTGACTGCTAAATTCCACTTTACAAACTGCACAAAAAACAAATTTTATTAAATATTCTCACACTGAGTAATTAGAAATGTCCAAATTTATTTTTGCAAATATGCTCCTAAAATGAAACACTGCACATGGTGTTTCATCCCAGAGTGCATTTTTACAGCCAAGTTATAAACCCCCAAGATATGTGCTTTCATCAGAAACGCTGGAACATTAAATACATGTAGTCTAGGGCTATGAACAGTGCAGTTTTAATAATAAGTGTGTGTAAGCAAGGACAGACATACTGTGTGTGTGTATTGGTACAATAAATACACGCACATTGACAACTGTAAGTGAATGCAATGGTGGGAATACAAACAATAGAAGCAGGAAGGCAAGGAAGGAGTTAGCAGTCACACTGATGGAGAAGTGGGGGGGGGGGTCAGTTGTTAACAATGGGTTAAGAAACAAGCTTTATTTTGGCATTTGCTGTATTTGAAAGAGAGCTCTTGGCAGACACATATTCTTAGAAAAATTAATTTCTCTGCCTATGTGTCTCTTCTCCTCATCCAGAGAGACCGGGAAAAGCAGTGTTTTGTATTCACATCCAGTCTCCTAAGGAAAAAAGGTAATTTTAAGAATCTGACCAGAGCCTGAGTTACTGTCCTCCACCCAAAACTGATGAAAAATATCTATGACAAGACTGAGTCCCTGAAATAAAGAGAAAGAAAAGAAAAATATCTAAAACATTAGACACAGAAGCATTATATTTCAATATTATCATATGAATTAAATGTAATCCTTGAAGCGACTAGTCCCGGGGGTCACATATTAGGCCATTTTTTCCTTTCTTTCTTTCTTATTTAATAGAGGTCATCCAGGCTGAAAAGCAGAACCCAAATGAAAAGCATCTTCAATGTGGTTATAACATGAGCTGCACAGGGTCAGGCAGTGTCTTGTATGGCCTCATAAAAAATACATAACCAGACAGCCTAATAGTATTTCTTTGCATTCATTTTTGGATGGGAACTGGCGGACAGAAGAGGGGGAAGGAAAGAGGATTGATGGAGGTAGGCACACATAAAAAAGAAACCTACATGCACATTTCCATAATGCAGAGCTCTTAGCAAATTTCTTCTTTTTGGGAAAAAGATTGTCATTCATTAAACAAGAGTCTTCAACTTGCTTATGTAAAAAACAATTGTGTAAATTATTTCTATCATCTCTCAACACTGGAATAGTATTTGCTGTGTTTACCTATGTATACTTATATATTTTCATGCATTCATTCAGGACAGTCATGCTTAATTGAATGTGCAACCATGTTGGGTTTTCTTGCATTAAACATTTTTCTTGCAGTAGGTTATTTGTCCACACACAGGCACAACCAAAATTAATTTGAATGATTTCTCTTCTGAAAAGAAATGCAGATGAAAAGCCCCAGTGACATGGTTTCTGCTTTAATTTGCTCTCATATGGGAGGGGTTTACTCAATGCACAGAATTTATGCAGGCTGCAAAGATGTACTGGGTAGGAGAGAGGGTGAGAGAGAGAGAATAAAAAAAAAAAAGAGGGAATGGGTAACATAAAAATAAACAGCTCAAAAATGCTTGTGAGATGAGAGAAGCTCTAAATGTGTTACCACCTCCCTTCCCCCTCCTCCCCAAATATAGCCTGGAGATGAGTGACCCTGCTGAGGGGAGATGGAGCCACAGAGGTGACCCAATGCTAACCAGCCTGTTAGAACTAATAAGGTGTGCTCCTAAGCCACTCAACTGACATTAGGGCATTGTGGAAATAACTCTCCTTGTTATTGCCCATCCTCAGCTTGAAATTTACTACTCCTTTGCATTATTAAAGAGACAGCTTGCATTCACTCTGGGGGAGAAGATTTGGCGAGGATAAATAACTGTGCATGATTTTTTTAAATGTTATGTTTCTACTCACCGTAGTCTTTATATTAAGATTCTGAGCGTTAACGCATGCTGGGTTAATAAGTTATTTATTATTTGAGCAGTTTTCAAAAATAAGATTGAGTTTAGAAAAATAAGATTTTTTCTACAGAAAATGTTAAGAAAATAGGCGATATTAGGAAGGTTGTAAAAAGGGGTTATGTGGGATTCAATAGCAGGCCTTGTGGAACCAAAGATGTGTTTTCAAACCATTTACTCAGTAGCATTGTTTATCATTTACATAAAAGAGCTGTCATGGGGTACTGCCACCCTGGAGCATCCCCTGCTGGCTGAGCCTGGCATGGCAGGCAGGCACTCCCTGACTCAGTTTCCCTCCCTAAGGTGAGTGTCTTCAGCTCTCCAGACACTGGCCTGTACCAGAGATGTGACTAAGCCTTCCAGCCAAATCACAAACCAAACTTAACCTTCTGGGGTGGCCAAAATCCAAACTAAAAAGTCCCAACAATACAAAAAGTTCTTCCGCCCTTTGGGGCTTCTCTTCAGCCTGCCCTCTGATTCTAGCCCCTTTCCAGGCTACTTTGAGAGTCTGTGCTCTGCTCTGAGCTAAAGCATAGCTCACAGGTCCCCTGGAATTCCCTTTCCCCTGCAGACCCTGGCCCAGAGCCTACCTGCTCCCTGTGGTTACAACTCTCTTTTGGTATAGAGCACTGGCTCCGGGCTGGTTCCCCTGGAGTACCCTTTCCTCAACAGAGCCTGGCTCAGGGCCTTCCACAGGAGCCATTTCACCCCCTGGGTTTCTAATTACCAGGCTAATCTTTGCCAGGTCTCTTATAGGGTCCAGGTGTCCATGAAGCTAATTAACTGCCACCCCTCCAGGTAATTAACTACTCACAGGTGGATGCTGGTTGGCTTGTTCAGCCCCCACAACAAGCATCTTAGATCAGGGTGTGTGAGGGATCTGGAGAAGAGAAAATCTACTGAAATTGCATCTATTCCTAAGAGAATCATGCATTCAGGGTGTCAAAACATTGGACACCTACTGCATTCCTTTGGCCCTCATTTGATTCTCAATAGCTGTGGGCATATGGCAGAGGTCTGCCCACAAACCAAACTCTTCCTCTCATCCAAGAAACTGAGTTCCCCCTATATGATACATCAGATTATGCAAATTTTCATATGATCATCCCTCCTTTTAATTGTGAGCTTCAATCAGCAGCAAAATAGTTGACAATGGAGATCAAAGTCAACACTCCATGAAGACAAAAGAATCATTCACTCCTCTCACAGCTATCATTTCAGGCTATGTGTAGCTATCACTGCATCACCTTTAAAGTGTCTACCTAATGGAATCTTTGCAACCATAAGGGCTAGAGATTTTTAAAAAAATAATTAATATCTAGCATTTCTATAGCCCTTTTCATCAGAAGATTTACAAAGCAGCTCGCTATCCCCGCTTTACAGATGGGAAACCTGAGGCACAATGAGGTGAAGTGACTTGCCCAAGGTGTAGCTGAGAATAGAACCCATGTCTCCTGAGTCTGTTCAGTGCTATGACAGCCACCACAAAAAACAAAACAAACCATTCACCAGGCTGCTACAAGTCAGCCCAATTTAACCATGGCACAGGTGGAATATCCTTAATCTGCTTGGGCTGGTAAATGCATCACAGTTCTTTTTAATGGATGCCTTTCCTGACATACACAAAGTCAAAAGAGTACTAGTAAAATACTTCTGGAAAGTAAATGGAACATGTGTCCTGACAATGTAAGGTACACTGACAGTGCGGGAATGAAAAGGAGAAGATTTCTGATCCACCACTGCCACCAGACCAAACCTCTGTTCCTTTATTATCTTTATACCAGACATTAAGCTAAAGTTCTAGAAGTGATCACGTGTAAAATGATTCTCTCCCTGTACATAAGGCTTTTCATGTGAAAAGACATTACACAATCAGGTCCACCATTAAAGTCCCAGAGTGAAAGACATGCGGCAAAGCAGTAAGGAGCATTACAGCCATTAAAAATATATATGACTATTTAGTTATATTCCTAGTGGAGAGCTTATTGAATTTCTAGCTCCCCTCTTCCCCAAAAGAGAGAGAGTTGTAGTATTCAGAAGCAAATCAGTTGACCATACATTCAACGATGTACAGCCTTCCCTATCCTACAGAACCACCACAGCTAAAGTGTTCAATAATAAAATCCTCAGAGTATTACAGGG